GGGGGGGGGAGTTAAATATTATATAGTAGTGAAGCTGTTGACTTACTGGTCAACCCTCACCTATGGTCGTGAGCTCTGGTTTTGGATACAAGCGGCAGAGATGAGCTTCCTCCAAAGAGTAGTTGGGCTCTCCCTTAGATATAGGGTGAGGAGCTCTGTTATTTGAGAGGGCTTCGTAGCAGAGCTGCTTTTCCTCCACATCGAAAATAGCCAGATGAGGTGGTCTGACTAGGATGCCTCTTGGACACCTCCTAGGTGAGGTATTCTGGGAACGTCCTACTGGGAGGAGGCCTTGGGGCAGACTAGGACTTGCTGGAGAGAGTCCCAGCAAGTCCTAGTCTTGCTGGGACTTGCTGTCTCTTGGCTAGCTTGGGAACGTCTTGTTGTCCCACCAGAAGAGCTGGAGGCGGTGAGTGAGGTAAGGGAAGTCTGAGTTTCTCTGCTTAGACTGCTGCCCCCGAAACCAGATGAGCAGCAAAAATGGATGGATGTGCTAAAGTCAAGGTTATCTTTGGGCATTGGCTGCTTTTTCACGCATCCGTGTCCTTTTATCATTTTTGGAAGTATGTTTGTTTGTTAAGACACTTAACACTGACTTATTAATCATTAAACATAAAAAAAATGCATCAAGGGAGTTCAAGTTGAAAGAGTGTTGTGTCTACACATCGACAATTTAGCAAAGAACCATTTTTTAAACAATATCTTTTGGCACTTTGGTATTTGCAGCCTGGTGACAAAAACACATTTGCTCCCCTTTCTTTAGTTGAGACTATGAAAAATGTTAAAATTTACACAGTTTGAAAGACATGAAATTGTATTTTGCACCAACATGGTGATTTCCAAAGACCAATTAGTTCTTTAAAACTTGGCATGGTGTGCAAAATGAGGAAAATGGACAAGTGGAGGCAAAAAGAATAAGTAGATGGTGTGACAGTCATCTCCTTTAAAAAAAAAACAACCAGTAAAAAAGTCCAGCAATGACTTGGCACAGGAAATTAGTGATTCATCAGTTCCTTCAGCCTCATTAAAAATGATCTCAGTGGAAGATGGGACGTCAAGAAGCCATTCTTAAGGAAGGGAAATGGAGGAAAGGTTGAGGTATGCCAAAACACACAAGAGCTGGACTGAAAATCAAGGACAACAGCTCTTACGGACTGACAAATCCAAGTTTTAATTTTTTTGGTTTAAATTGTCATCAATATGTATGGAGGTGGCTGCACGGTGGTTAGCACTGTTGCCTCACAGCAGTTTAGGGAGTCTTTCTGTGTGGAGTTTGCGTGGGTTCTCCCCGGGTATTTCGGCTTCCTCCCACAAGCCAAAGACATGCACTTTGTGGGGATAGGTTAATTGAAAAACATCTAAATTGCCCGTAGGTGTGAATGCGGGGGTGAATGTGAGAGGGAATGGTTGTCTGCGACAGACTGGCGACCTGTCCAGGGTGTACCGCGCCTCTCGCCCTATGACAGCCGGGATAGGCTCCAGCGCCCCCCCGCGACCCTGAAAAGAATAAGGCTGTCTACATCCATTTGTAAAACACAGCGAAGGCTCTTTCCTGGTTTGCATTGTAGCCAGTGGAGGTTAGAGATGAACAGTAAAATACCATCAGACTGTGCAATATAATCTAGGAAGTGTCTTAAATTTTTTAGCATGACATTGATCCCAAACACACTGCCAGTGCAAGCATAGAGAAAGTTTAGGTGGTGCAGAAGATTAAAAGCTGGTCCTACCAAATCTTGACTTTCAAGTTTGTTAGAATTGTACAAACTCTGTTTTACCTTATTTACTGCATTTCCATGTATGTGTGCACACTCGAATAAAGTGCACTCGTTTCCCATCTTCCTAGCAACATATTAAGAAACGAATTTCAGCTCGTGAATTTTGCACAGTACTGCATATACTAATGCCCCACTGAAAATCTAAGCAAGTTTCTTGTAGATAACACATTTGTTAGGTTACTTGTTGATTCTAACTTGGCTGTATGTTAATGTGTGGCCAGGATATATTCTGCCTCTCATCTCATCGGGTTTAATACGTGACAACTCAGATAAGCTCCAGCTGCCCTGTGCGACCCTGAACTAGATAAACCATTCAGGATTGAAAGGATGGATTTTAGTTCGCAGAAATAAAATATAGAGCTTTTGTCAGTTTGGTTAAATTTGCTTTGCTGGTTGTCCTGGGAAAATGTCTGCATTTGTTTGTCGAGCTCAGGACATCTGCATGACTGTGTGTGCCGTCCGCATTGTAATATCAGTTCTAAACCTCTCAAATATGCCTCTGACAAAATCCACCCACAATCTAAATTTATAATAACCCCCTAAGACCTCAACTAAGACTACAAACTGACACTAAATACTGACTTTGAAAGAGAACTTCAATAACCAGTTCATGTTAAAATATTAATTAGAAAATTGCAGTACTCCTTTTTAAGTGTGGTTATTTCTTTGATGTAAGAATCTAAAGACTTCTACAGCTGCACTAAAATATCAAACACAGAAAACACACAATAAGCAGCTCTTACTGACGTACCTGTGGGTGCAGAATATGGACGCTGTTGTTGGACATGAGGAGGATCTTGAGTGACCACAGTCCTATGAAAGACCTGGTGTGCACCTCTGTCACCTTGTTCGCACTTAGATCCAGCAGCCAGGTGCCGTGGGAGATGCTGGATGGGACCCGGGTCAACCCACGAGACCTGCAGTCCACCAGGTCTGAAGATTCATAGCACAAGCAGGGGCTGGGGCACAGTTTAAAGCCCAGCACGGCATTCAGGAGGAGAGGGAGCAGGAACATCGCGGCCAGCATAGTGCAGCCAAAGCCAGGCATCTTGCTGGAATCTGAGTGACCTCACTCCTGCTGAAAGGCATGGTTACCCTCTTGTAGTCCCCCCGAGAAATACATGTAGAAACCCAGAGAATTTGTTGCAAGGGCACGATAACGCTGTCATTTCAACAAATTCTCCATGAGCAAACATCGAACGGTTCCCGATTAGAGAGGGATTAATGGCTTAAACAGATGATCACATAACCACCACATCAGGGCAGCAAACTTGGTCCATTTTGGATCCTTTCCTAAAGTAAGGATTTACATCTGCTCTTCTATATGGATATATTAAGCTCTTTTTCATCATAGAACTCCCATATCCCTGTGATTTCAGCAACATGTTACATAAGATTGTATGATTTTTTATAATCTCTATTATGGTAAAGGTAGCACTGGTAGTAATGTAATGGAAAAGCCTCTTTAAAAGTAAATCTTCAGTACAGCATTCAGCATCAGGACCATTATATTGGAAGCACCGAGGATCAGTCAGCAAAAACAATTCAATATTTAAAGACTGTCCCAAAGAAATTAAAAATTGACTATTACGTATAATGTTATTTTTAAAAAAATACACCTTTCTATAAAAAAAAATAAAATCGACTTCACCTTTGGGAGCATTTTTCACACTTTTCTGACATTTTGGAGTTGAAATAATTCATTAAGACAACCACAAGATATCACTGAACAACAACCATCAGCCTACCTGAAATGTACCCTTACCTCCACCCAGAAAAAGGAAAAAAAGAACATGTTTTCCACATAACTGCAGCTCCATTAGTGGTACTCATTTAAAAATTCACACTGATTTACTGAGAAGTTCGTTGCTGCCCACAGGATGGAGGCAAATGTCATCAACCAGCTTTAGAGTAACCCAGAGGCTTAAAACATTTAAATAATTAATTTGAAAGAGACATGGCGTCAGTTTCCTGTAATTACACAGATTACAACGCTACCAAACAGGACAGAAAGTGAAACCCGAGTGTAACCCGTATCTGATTAAAACGTCCTTACTGAGGACAGCTGATGGTCAGTCTGAGTTCACGTGACACAAGAGAAGTGGTTCCTCAGGAATGCAGCCAAATGTATTCCGAGGACGTCATATAAAATCAGGGTTAAGACAAGAAAAAGACAGCACTCTGGCAATTAAAAACAAACAAAAAAAAAACAAAAAACAAAAACAAGTTGCTCTCAAAAAAAGTCGTTGAAAATTACGGTATTACAGTCAGAATTTTTGTTACTTTTATTTTAGAAAATGTCCTTTAAAGTGTGGCATTTCAAGTCACATTTTGTTTAAAATACAGAAAATACAGACAGTAGAACATGGATACAGCAAAAAAAAAAAAAAAAAAAAAAAAAAA